TTTTGTAATGACGTCATCCATGTTTTGGGGGATAAACAGATCTATTTTGAATAAAAATTTACCGTGTTCACGATAACTTTAAAACGTCTGCAAAATTTGAAAAATTGGATTTTACAGATTCTAAATTAAATTCCAAAATGTTGTCATACGATTTTAAATCACGTATTTATTTATAAACTGTAAGAGTTATTTTATACAACTTCAAACCCATTTACCTACGTACAATTTTGAGATGACAACATCACACTGTTGATGGGGATGATTAGACAAAGTTGGGTTAGCGTTTTACCATCTACAAGATATTCATAAAACACATATAAAATTTGACAACAATCGGTTCGGGAGTTTCGGAGATTATCTATCTAACAAAAATTCACACAGAGAGAGACAGACGGACGGACATGGGAGATCTATTTTTTCGGACTCTAGGGTCGCAGCCAGTCGCCCGATGAACTCGATTACAATATTTTATTAGCTTAAGCTCGGCGAGTAAAAATTGAATTTTCGCATTTAAAATTTTCATTTTGTTCAAACTAAGAACAATTTTTTGACGTTTGGCGTTATAATAAATATTTTGTAACAGTTCTTACAAAATTACTTCCTCTTGAGGATCATATCTCGATTGCAAAATACAGATGCTACCAAGTAACAAGTTTTAAATTTATTATTTGCCAGCTGTGTGGCGTAATCTCATCATGTGGAATTCATAAACTGTCAAGAGAAATTATTCATTGAAAAAGCTTTACAAGTGTAATGAAGGGCCAACATAAATCCTGCAATAATTTTGCCACCATTTCTTAAATCATTTGAAAAATTAAATTAATCGTTCTTAGAAGAATGGCTATTATTTTTAACAATTTCAACACGCTACGCAAATCTTGCCATTTTTATTCAAATAAAGGACTTTCCAAAAGCACACTCTCGTTTATTTTCATAAGCCAACGTTGTGCTAATTCAAATAATGATAATTAATTGTACGCAAACTCCACAATTTACTTTAAATTAAATCGTAATCGAATGCAGTAAACCCCAATATATCTAATTTTAAATAACGTGCGATCAGCAAATGTCCCTTTAGTAAGTTAGTAGTTGATTTTAACTGTCTTCCTTATTTCGTGTTATTAGTAACAAGCGATGAGTAATAAGACAGCTGGCTCGTTCGATGTCAGCTTGAGGACATTTTTTGTTGATCGTCCCCTATAATTGTGTTATCTGTTTCCCCGCCAAAACAGCGAAATAAGTCCAAGTGATTTTTAAGGCAAGTCAAGGGTGTGAATCTGGAATGCCTTGAAATATAATAATTAGGTTTGTTCACGTAAAAGTAGGTCTAGATTTTATACATACATTTTTACAGGCCATTTGTTACAAAACACTAAATTGTCTAAAAATAGCGAAAATGATCGTTCGAATATGGTTATAAAACAAGGACACCGTTGCGACGCTTTAGATCGCACTTCTTTCGTTACGTGTTCTCCGACATCTGCTAAAGGGGAAAAAATTGGCGTGGAACGTGAAAATCTGCGTGGTCCTCCGATGGTGTTTCGGCTGGGCGTAAGTAACCTGAAAGATGTATCGAGGGAGCAATGAAGCAGCTTGTCGCTCGCGTAATTCCGTTACACTTTGACTGAATTCCTCAGGGATTCCCTGATCACATTGTGCTCTCTGCTCCACGCTCCACGGTACTCGAATTCATCCCCTCCGGTGAAACCTTAGTGCCTTTTTGGCCTTGCCAGGCGAGATAACACGGATCATTCCTCTCTTCAACACGAAAATCTCCATCGCCACCAAATTCATACCAAGTAGTTGTACATCCAACACAAATTTGATTTTGTAAAATATGGGATTTTGAAAAAATCTCCAAACGATGTTGCCGCTGATTTGATAACGAAAGTGAAAGGTCTTGTCTTGCGAAAATCTTATTTTATCGCAGCATGTGTTATGAGAATAACGGAAATAACGCGACAGGATTCAATCGAGTAGCGAAAACCGAATCTTGTTCTGTGTAATGGTCTTTTATTAGAGTTTATTGAATTGTACTTATGTCGAGTTTGGCCCGCATCGAAGTCGTGAAGGGCGATGTAGCGAGACCGGCAATCGCCCTCAGGGAGTTGCACTAACTTGCTTTCGACCCGACTTCTTACCTTGCTGTTTTATTAACGGCTTCATCCAGTTTTCCGACCCACTTGCGGTTACACCTAATGGCTAATAAGAGGTTTAGCCAAGAACTTTGCTACACTTTTATGACGGATCGGCGATTCTGCGGGCCGTTTCTATAACTAGACTGCGAATTTTTGCCTCCGTTGGCGGCAACGACTTGATGATCAATGGAATATTATTATTGTGAAAATATATAACAACACGATAGATGTAGGTATAGCAAAGGACGAATCCAAGACTTACGACTACACGAAAAATAGCTTTCCACGGTGGAGCTGTGTAACGCTGTAACCTGCCAATCAAATTTTAGTTTCGAAGATCAAGGCAAACACAAAATTCACGAATTCGTTGCAGAAGAAGGGTTTGCTACGTTTGAGCAACATTATGTTTTTATTAGCGAGATAAAGAACCGCTTTGGGATTCGAGCTACTTTACGGTGACTGCGTTTTATTACATCGTTAATTTTTTTGTCGTACAAATAAAATATGTGAAGATATTAAAACTTTACTTTTCCCTGAACCACAACAATTACCGCATACATCTCACGGGCTATTTTTTATGACAGATTTATTTAGCAATGTTTAATGACACTTTGAAATGACGTCATCAATTTTTGGCGAGGATAACAACATTATTTTGTAATATAAAATGTTAGCACTAACAGATACTATGCACCTGGAATTACAAGAAATGTAGATGAATCGTGTCTAAATAAAAGTACTGAACTTTCTGTAGCTTTTCAAATTTTTCTAGATATTTTTCGTGTTTTCCTAAGAAGCAACTTTTATTTATGAAAATTGCTTACTACTGTGACCGGAGACTAAAATGGGTCATGTCATTATTTTTTTTTTATTTTTAGCTACATAAAATTGTGTATGCAAATATATCATTTAATAAAAAAATGCGGAATGTGTTTTCGCAAAGTCAAGTCACTATGATTTCGTTATGAATTACAAAATCCTTTTCACCTGTAACATGGCTGCGATTTTATTACAACCGCCGTCTTGGGACATGTAAACTCGGCACTGTTTACAATCCCTCCCTCTGGAAACTTTTCGTGTTAAAACAAGGATTTATTTTATCGCCACAATTAAAACGCATGAGTTACATTTCAAGACTTTATTTATTTTACTGTTTTTGCGGTTTGATAAAATGTTAAACAGTTAATTTAAAGTAGGTATCTGTAGTATGAAGGGTAGATTGACGAGGCATACGGATAAGGGGCGTAACGCACGAATGGCAATGCTAGTTTTCTGTAGACCAAGGGAGTGTTCAGAACAGATCCAGAGAAATCGTCCTTAATAATCTGGGAGCCATCAGGACCAGTTATTGTAGTTCGCACATTAGGGCCTACCACAACTTCGGCAGCGGCAAAAGCCACAAGGGCGACCAAAACAATCTGAAAATTTTGACAAGAGGTTATTTTTATGCAAGCAGACACATAAGAGTAAAACGGATGATTAGGGTGACATTATTTTTAGTATTTTAGAAGAGTTGGATTTTATAGATGTAATATAACAGTCTTACCATAAATTTCATTGTTGCAAGTTGTTCTAAGTAGCTGTGGCTTGAACTGAATGCTAATTTGGAATCTGAAGCTAGCTTATATACTTACACTGTTTCAGCTTTAATATAGGAAATATTTTTTGTGATAACTCTCATGTGATTTTAGTGATATAGTAATATTTTTTTAATTTTATTACGAAATGAATTTATTTTTATCTGTATTGTTTTTTAAAAGTTTTTTATGTCATTAGTTTATTATTAGGTTGTTAAATCGCTATTATTGCACCTCATCAGTGTCTATAATATGGAGTCTTAATATAATGTTGTTTTAACGCTGTTATCTATTAACATTAAATTATGAATTTACACACAATTTGCATGCCACAAGAAATAACACTTTCCAACAAGGACTAATGCTGCAGTTTATACCACTGCAGTGACACGAAAAAGTTACTAGTACTAACAGTTACACACAAAATCGTTTCTAACATTTTTCTTTTTTCAAGTAATCTTGTAGATTTCAATTTGGCATGTTTTCATTTTTCGGATTTATATTAAATATATATATAAAATAGGTCTTCCGTTTCCACGCGTTTTGTTTGTCTTGCATTAAATCGTTGTCAAATTTTATACGTTTTTATTGATATAGCGTAGATGGTAAAACGCTAACCTAAATTGTTATTTAAATTGTATAAAATAACATCTATTTGTGGTTTATGTGTCTGCCTTCTGGACACAGAGCAATGACCAATCAGTAAAATATGAAATTTATGTATGATTAATTTTCTATATAGTTATGTGATAACAACACAATCTTGTGACAGCAGTTTGATTTTATTGTACATATTTTATTATGAATCTTGTTAATCAATCTAAGAATCTCAAAGATTCAGTGCAACTAATAATCTTTAATAAGATTTAATTAAACTTGTGTACTTTTCTAAAGTTTCTTGACTATTCGTTACCTCCACACCCAAGTTTAAGGAAACAAAACTTTTTAAACCGGAAACCAAAGCTCCAGAAGAATTTTTTAATACTTTGACAAGTTACCACGGGCCGAAGTGTGCCTGTAGCTACCAGCTAACATCTGCATCAAAAGAATCAGCAGAAAACGTAGAGAGAGATAATTGGATACCATATTTTTTATCTGTCTCAAAATAAAACTTCGTCAAAGTTGTTAAGAAACTACAAAAACATTCCAGTTCAATCGATTTCGAACGATAGTTCCACCTATTAGTTTTATGCTCTAATAAGACAGAAAACTTTTATACATATGATATTTGTAAGTGCCGGTTTTATTTCTTCTAGAAGATAAATCTCGCCTTTTTTCTTTTCAGATGACGTGCGTCTTACAATCACGTGGTGTGGAAAACAACCTCACAATGGCAGAAGTTCCTGTAGAAGTTCCTATAACATCGGATGATGATTCCGAACAGGTAAAGATCTTATCTAGAGCCGCTAATGGCCAATTTTAAAAACGCGATAGAGTCATTTACAAAATGTATTTGTTAACTTTATTCAGTCTTCATCTCATTGCTGCACGAACACAAAGTTTGCACAACACCTATGGATTGGAAATAACATTCGACATGTTATTCTGTCATATATTCACACCATTTCACAAATTGAAATGATGATTCTAGAAGCTCTTGTATTGTAACAACATCAGCTGTTGATTATTGGCGACGAAAATAGCTCATATAACATCATTAATCAAAATTTTTAATTGCGGAGATATTAAAACAGACACAAAGTGGTTTCGGTTTTCAATATGTAACAAAGCTCTTCAGTATGTGCGAATGAAGCTCAAAGCTCGATGTATCACATAATGGAGAAATTAATGATGGCTGAATATCCGTGACATGTTAAAAGAACATGTACAAGGCAATAAAAATAGATTTTAATTATTAATGATCACAAACGTGTTTTATAATTTTATGTTTGGGGGTTTATTGGTGTTCACGGTTTAGTAGTAGAGGTTATTACACGAACTAAATGGGTGAAAGAACTTCTAGAACGAGCTATAATCGGAGACTCTTCATTGTAATGGCATGTTTAACCAATTTCCGTTTGTCTCGACGTATTCTATTGCTACGACTTGTCTTTATCTTTGTATTTATTAGCAGCTAAAAGTTTTCATCAGAACGGCCCCCAAGTAAGTTTCCAAAAGTGATAACGCTTAGTATATTTTTCTAAAAACAAGATGATCATTTAGATTCAAATCAAAATATTCAACAAAATTCAAGAATTCAGAAAATTTTAATCGAAACTTCAACGAAGTTGGGGATCCAATCAGTTTTTAAAAGCTCAGTGTCTGTTGTAGAAAAATAAATAAGAGTTAGGAGTCACGGTGACATCAATCGTATTGACAAGATCATCAAAATCTTTATTGTTATACTGAAATGGCTATATCTGAAAAAGGCGCTTCGATTAGCGGAAATAAAAGATTGGATCATCACTTCTTGTACAAAGTGGGGCCGTGACCAGCTTGTTCTACAAAAGCAAACATGGAATAAAAGAATCTTTTGTATATGCCGCTAGAAATAAGATTGTAGAAAGAGATTGAAAATAAATAGAAGAATATGAAAATTTCAATATCAATGTAACACGCAGATTTACATCTCCTGTCAGTCAAACATAATAATCCGGTAAAAAGCTTCGCGAAGTAATTGGTGGAGAAACATCAGTTCGGGGAAATTTTACAAGAGGATTTTCATATCTCCTGGTTTTACTAATGCGTAATTTATTGTAATTTGTGAGTAAAGTCGTATTTGCAAGTCTGCAATCCTCTGGTGCTTCCAAGAATCAACAATGCATTATTCATTCGTGAGCTTCAGTCTCTTCTTATTAGTCTTAACGGTGAATCTCAATCTCTGATTTTATCGACCTCGAAAATCTACCACCGTATTAACCAAAAAGTCTGTTAAAATCCGCTCAGAAAGGTGATTACGTTTTTCAGCCACTTTACGCGGTATTTTCAATAGGAAGCACTTAACCAGAGGCCTTCATAAAATCAATTTTATTATTGGTCGACGAATCTGGGAAGAAAAATGTTGCCAATTAATATCGGAAGTGCTTTCGTCGAACAAATGAGAGCCGAGGGGGTAAGAAGTGGATGTTGAGGAATAAGAGAATTCTAAAACAAAGAACGTTCTTAATGCCCTTACTCTGCAAAATTAATGATGTTAAGTAGGAGGTCTTTATGAATCACTCCAACACGAACATATCGATTGTTACGAGAACTTATAGTGCAGTTTTTTGTTCATGCTGCGCTTACTTCTTTACTTAACTATTAAAACCCGACTACAACACTCAAAAATTAATTATAGGAATTATCGTCGCAACTACAAGAAGTGGACGGTAGAGCTGGAGGATGGTCTCCTTGGTCGGACTGGTCTTCATGCTCTCGATCTTGCGATGGGGGTGTTTCACATCAGTTAAGGACGTGCAGAACGGGATCTTGCAGAGGAGAGCACGTCAGATATAAAATATGCAACATGCAGGTAGGTCATTTTGCTAGATTAACTCTGATGATGGCGACGTTAATTAGCAACGTTGTAACAGCCGCATGAAAAGCGGATAGCTAATAATTATTGCAGAAGTGTGCAACAGAATGTTAATCATAGTCTTTACATTTTATATGTTTACATTTCGCCCCTCTGTAAACTCCAAACGTGACAGCGAAAAATTCTTTTTTATTTTTTAATTACGTGATGAGTAATTCAAAATTATAAATTTATAAATTTTTAAGACATCGCTGACACATCGATTTTACAACGTTGTATTTTGGTTGGAATTTCTTATTTTTATTTTAAAATTAAGTATAATAAACTTAGTCGCAGCATCTTCTTGTGAAATATTTTTCAGTTGCGCACTTATTCTCATTTGAACCGACGGACGCTTTGTTCACTTTCAGTCAATATTATTGAGATCAATAATTTTATCCAGATGCTATGCTTCGAAAATACTAAAAGTTTTTGCTCTGCTCAGTCAAGTTATAGTGTTGATCTTCATGGAATTTTATCAAATCTATGTAACAAATTTAGATTTTATGAGCGCAATTTATTAAATATTTTATTTTTTAATGTCAGTCGTAATTTTTAGTGTTAACAGTTTTAATTTTCCCTGTTACTGCTTTTTGTTTTGGATTTTTAAAATATTTACAACTTTTTTAGTTGGTAACTGACTTTAAAATTTTAACAGTAATGGCTGTGATCAAATGAGAATGAAAGAAAAGCAGCCAGTCTGTAATAAGTAATCATATTAATCACAGTGGTGGTTTTCATCACGTGCTGTGGTTGAAGTTAAAAAAATAAAATAACCCTATACGAAAATGTTACCAATTTTTATTTATTTTCCCACTTTGCGGTCTGCAGAATTTCTTCTGCTGAGTGATTTTCTCCTGTGAAACGAAACAAACATTTCTCATACCACTCATTCTTTGAACTTCCATTTTGCGTAAAGTAGTTTTTTATTTAAATGTTATTTCGTTTGGGTGCGAACTTTGTATTTGATTTTCTTATGAATTTCTGTAAATGTGTGAGCAAACAGGAAACTCTTGCATTTGTATTATTCTCAAAGTCACATAACTGGAGAAAGGCGTTCTGGCTAAATTATGGTAGATATCAAGTCTGTTATTTACAGTGAACGTAAACATTTATTACCATACATTTACAAAATATTTTCCTCTCAGACACACGCTAATTGCCACGAAAACAAATTTTACAGTAGCCAATCGATCATTAAAAAACACATGCAGCCGTTTTTTATTTATATTTTCCGTACTTCTGAAGAGGGCGTAATAAAGATTTTGATCATTTCTGCTTCATGTAGAGCAACTTTGATGCAGAAACTTTCCTTTAAGTGATTTTAAAACTTTCCTCAGACGAATTTCCTTTAATACGCGTAGCAAATTTGTTTTCTCGGAAAATTTCTTTCCTTAACGGTTGGTTGCGTCTTGTCTATATTGGCGGATTATTTTAAATATTGCTAAAGTTCTAATTGAATTGCCTTAAACAGCCTGTGATGTCTTTTTCATAAGCTTAATGGCCGAATTGAACGAAGACATTAACGCTCGAGTAAATTAAATTTTGATGATATTTATTATTTCATAGATTAGACAGTCGATACGATTACGATGATACTTTTTGAGTAAAGGGTCAATAACTTTGTTATTGAGGAAGATTGTCCGAGCGCATTTGTCAAAATTGAAGTCGGCATCTTTACTGCCGTCGCTTCTTTTTTCTTTGAGTAAATAATCCTGAGAAAACCCTGGTGGGTTTGGTGTAAACAACGCAGCGTAATGGAAGAATGCCTTCCAATCGTTATATCAACAAAAATATAAAATATTTTACGACTGTTCGATTTTCTTATAAACTATTTTTTATTAATCGCTGATGTAGATCAATGACTTACCCTTTTCCGACCTTTTCCCATAAAACCGATACACTTAACAGCTGCTAAATCTGTGAGTATTGACCCTATTGGGTTAGCAATAAAAAATCATTCGTTAAAGCGGTTTGTACAAGAGTTTTTCCATTTCCACGCTGAGGGAAATATCCAATTCCATGTTTTCTTGGGGTGTCACGGCTTGTGGAGTACGAAAATGTAGGTTTTTTATTTTTATGTGGCTATTGTTTTTCAGTTAAACATAATTGAACAAATATTTCATAAACTGTAAAACTTATTAATGTTTTGATATTTTAAGTGTATCGTACAATTTTCTTTCAAAAAAAAAAAAGATAATTTCACCAATATTGTTAAATAAATTTCTGTTTTTATTTGAAATAAATGTATATTCCAAAAACATAACCATGGCTGAACAATGGTTAATTTAGCTTGCCTGAAATTCTGCCAGGTAGTAACTTTTCACAAATGTAACTTACCATCATTAAACAAGTGTTGTTTGTTGTATACTCGTGTGTATTAGACAAAACTTGTAACTATTTTTTTACTGTTAGGATTCTATTATTTCCATCATGTTCGAAGACCCACGTCAAAGGTACGTTACATGTTTCTCCTGGTTTAGAATTGCTTAAGCAGCATATAGAAAAAAATGTACAAACTGATTTTATTACACACTGGTTTTACCTGACCTCGAGTCCGTAAAAATTTAACACGTGCTGTTGCCTCAAATTAAGGAAAATACGCGCAAAGTAAAATGATGACTTAACGAAAAGTGTAAAATTTTCTTTACTTTACTAAACTAACATAAAGCAACGAACCAACTTTCCTAATTGTGAAATTGCTAACGAGCCTTCTGCCGAAACTTTATTATAGGACGATATGCAAATTCTATTTATAATGCAAAATAATTTAATGAATAGATGTCAGTACTAATTGGATTTCTACGTTTGCAGTCTAAATTACTAATTTTAGTTTTCCTACATCTTAGTGAATACTTCAATGTAGTATTGTTTCGTCGATCTAACGAATCAACAAGGAAAGTCCGTACAATAATAATGCTGGGAGTGTTTGTATTTAAAGTGACAATTTCTCTCCGTAAACGTATTTTTATAACAACGTTACTCGGTTGAAATTTTTAAACAGCAAAGTGGGTGGAGTGACATCTCTTTTGAAAGCTTTCCTGATTCTGAATACAAATGTGTGTTTTTGTTTGTTTTAAACTCCATCGTTACGCATTAATAAATAACAAAAGTTTTATTGCTCGGAAACTAAAAGAATACGATTAAGTAGGAATTAATTCTAAATGAAATATTCAAAGTGAACTGTATTTAGTTCCTCAGCTCTTAACAGAAATAGAAAAAATAAGATATCTTTACTTCTTGTTTAGACAAATTAACTTTTAACCAAGGAAATGATCAATTACCTTATCATTCACAGTTTTTATAATCTACTCAAATTCAAAGTAGCTGTGTTTTTTAGCAAATATTCTGTTCGGGAGTTATCAGTGGGGATAAATATATGCATTTTGATATGTACAGCGAAGTACTATTATTACTAGTAACAACGATACATTATTGCATGAGTTTTACCATTAATGATGGATAAATTATTTCTGATATTATCATTAAAATAATCGTTTTATCCATTATTTATGTTTATTATTGCCCTGTGTAAGCAGTTCTAAAAATAAAATCACATTAGGGAAGTTACAACATCATTTTTTTTTATATATTTTTTTCAAGATGATATTTATATACGTAAATTTGAAAACAGCACACGTAATCTGCTATAAATTTGCGAGGATTTTTACCAGGGAGGTTGTTCGAGCATTCTTAGCTTAATTAAAACCATACTATAAAAATAATGGTCGACGAATACATGGTACTCCTTTTTGTCTCAATAATAAAAAATGTTACGCTATAATAAACAACAAGCATAATATAACTATAAAAAAAAATGTATACATGCGGTAAGTTAAAGTCTATTATTAACCAGCAAGCAAAACGGCGTTCAATATCCGACGTTTTTTATGAAACATTTTCCGTTTCCAGCTTTCCCTTTTTTGCTTTTGGAATCTTTCTAACAATCGTAATAAGCTTAACGGCGACAGTAATGCTCATAACAGTTCACGAATAGTTATGTCCCCAACAATCTAAAATCGAATCAAATCCGTGTCTCCCAACGTTGTTCCAAATCATTATCTTTTGGTTGAGGAAGGTAGAAAATAGTATTGAGCTGCTTGACACGCGCACACTTTCTATGGTATAGAGTTATTTATCCATTCTTTTCTGTAATAAGACAATTTTCTCGAACGACGTCTCACGATTTCAACGTCTCAAAAGTTACAATGTTGAGATGATAAAATGTTCCGATTGGCAAAGGTTATCATAGAAACAGCCAATCGGGGACCGATGCTAGATAAAAAAATAAACACAATAGACGCTACAGACGAAAAGGACAGTGGAAAATGTCCGTTGAACTTGGAATCTGATAAGGAAATGCCAATACGTTTGGGCCTTGCAGAATCATTACGACGGGGAAATTGTTGTACAAAAAGTAATATTTTGTCTTTTCAGTGGGGAATTCCCGGAACAAAGGGTCAGTTTTTTATGGACTCATTTTTTATTTTACTTTCTCCCCAAACCTGCAACATTGTTAAGCTCTCGCTTTTCCTACAAAAGTGTTAATTTTTTAAGATATGTGTAGTCCGCATCCGGACTAACGGTGCAGTAATTAATGTACAAATTTAATAAATAAATTTTGAAGGATCGTACCAGTCATATAACTTTATTGTATTTCGATAAATTCAAGAAAATTTTAACATAAGCTACAAAACGAATCAGTTCATACTTTTTTGAGACCATATGTACAGTTCTAATGACACATATTTAACTACTTCTCTGAACGAAACGAATTAATAATAAATATTAATATTTAATTAATATTCTGTAGACTTCAGATGAGAAATGTTTTTCTAAATGTATAACGTACTTGGGTCTGGGACTTTTTCCACCATCTTGAAAAATAACTGTTTCATATATCCGACTGCGTGTAAATGCTACCAGAGTGTAATAAACAATGAAACCGAGACTCTCGT